GTGGTGGTGGTGGTAATGTAGCCTCCTGTCATCTGGTGGTGGTGAGTGGTGGTCATAGCCTCCTGTCACCTGGTGGTGTAGCCTCCTGTCATCTGGTGGTGTAGCCTCCCATCTGGTGGTTGTGATTATGTAACCTCAGTCATTTGGTGTTGTTAGTAATGTAGCCTCCTGTCATCGTTGGTGGTGGGCCACAGTCATCTGGTGGTGGTGGTGATGATGTAGCCTCAGTCATCTGGTGGTGGTGGTGGTGGTGGTGGTATGGCCTCCACTGTCATCTGGTGGTGGTAATGGCACTCCTGTCATCTGGTGGTGGTGGTGTAGCCTCAGTCATCTGGTGGGGAGTGTGTACTCCTGATCATCTGGTGGTGGGTGGTAATGTAGCCTCCTGTCATCTGGTGGTGTAGCCTCCTGTCATCTGGTGTGTAGCCTCCTGTCATCTGAGTGGTGTAGCCTCCTGTCATCTGGTGGTGTATCCTCCTGTCATCTGGTGGTGATGTAGCCTCAGCCATCTGGTGGTGGTGGTGATGTAGACGCCTATCATCTTGGTGTTGGTGGTGGTAATGTAGCCCACCATGTGCCTCAGCCATCCTGTGTTGGTGGTGTAGCCTCAGTCATCTGGTGGTGGTAATGTTGCATAGTCATCCGGTGGTGGTGATGTAGCCTCAGTCGTAGTGTTGGTGGCAGTAATGTAGCCTCAGTCATCTGGGATGGTGGTAATGTAGCCTCAGTCATCTGGTGGTGGTGTGTAGCCTCCTGTCAAATGGTTGATGATATCTTCTGTGATCTGGTGTTGGTGGTGATGTAGCGTCATTGGGTGGTGCTTAGTCTCCAGGCAACTGGTGTTGGTGATGATGTAGCCTCCTGTCATTGGGTGGTGGTGATGTGATCTCCAGGCACTTGTTGTTTGCTCCATTTATGTATTATTTATTCAGCCTAGCTATGGCGTCATTGGCAATGTTATTACCATATCATGCTTAATTAATGTGCCTGGCTGACGTATGGAAGCTGCTAATGTATCACTTGCCATAAATGCGTCTATAGCAGTTGTGAGGCCTAGCCAGGAGAGCACTACTCCCCTTTATTGTACATACTCTTATCCAGTAAACCAGCGAACTACAAAACTATACAGGTGTTTGTGTTCTCTCCTGTATATTGAACTTATTATTCAAGAACCTAACATGGGCGCGGTCGCGTGGTTTTACTGGATTATTACAGTGATGGTCTGCAAGTTTGTTTGAAAACCGGCTTATGGACTCCTACCTGTGTCAACGCTGCCATCCGTCCTCTAAAAGAATTTAGCAACTTTGAGCAGTGTCAAGTGACAGTGATTTTCTGTGAAGTGTTTAGTGCGCTTCTGTGTGCTGTTATTCTGTGTGTGACCTTGTTTTAAGGATTTCCAAGGTATCTGGCATGTTCTGAGCATTTGTAGGTAGAGTTCAGTGCACCCCTTCTCTGACCGTTTCAGAGGTGACTGAGCTCCTGCGCTATCTCCACCCCCCCTCACAGCTGGGGCGAGACGCTTTGCCTGCCCGGGACACACACACACACACACATACATGCACTAACACTTGCTGACCGCGCGGCTTCCTTATATATATTTTATATATATAACCTACTTATCTGTGTATTTAATTAATTTTTTTGTCTGAAATCTTGTTGATACGACGGGCTGACCGGTCAACACTGATTTAAGACAGTACACAGATGAAGTAGTTATGTCTCATGCCTTACGTAGCCGTGGAGCCAGCGCCTGGATGAGTCAAGCGGATGACAGTCCCACAGAGATGGATGACCAGGCCGGCCACGACGCTCCAGCTCCCACAACATCGCGCAGCCCTTCACCTCAACATTCAGCGTTATCTCCAGAGATAATTGCCTTAATGAAGTTTATGAGAGATGAGAGACGCGAGGATGAAGCTCACAGACGTTTGGCGGATGAGCACAGAAGGCAAGCAGAGGCAGAACAAGACCACCAACGGAGAGTGGAAGACAGTGCACGGTTTGAAGCCTTGATATCTCGCCTCACTGTTAACCAAGCCCCTGGCTCTAACACTGCCTCGGTACTGACTGGTTCAGATACCTCATCCATGCTTCCTTCACGCCCCCCCAGCCCCACCTAAAGCAGCAGCACAAACACCGCCCATCTTGAAGCCTGATGTGAATTTCCAGACTTTTCGTGAATGGCGGCGACGGTGGACTGATTATTCTACAATGGTGGATCTCCAGAGTTTGTCACAGCCTAAACAACTCATCCAGCTGCGTATGTGCCTGTCCTTGGAAATTCAGCGTGTCTTGGAACATACGTTGCAGGTACCTCCGACCTCTTCGTTGTCTGTAGAGGAGGTACTGGACATTCTACAACGGCACATCAAAGGACAGCAGAATGAAGCTCTGCGCAGGAGGGAATTGTTTAGCTGCAGACAGATGGAAGGTGAGACTTTTGACGCCTTTTATGTACGTCTTAAGAGAGCCTCGGAAGAGGAAGAGGTAGATATATGTCTAGGCCACCACCAGCAGTGCGAGGAGACCCAGTTGAAGCAGGTGATCCTGATGGGTGTTAAGGACGAGGAACTTGTCCAACGCCTCACCTCCCTCGACTCTTCCTCTTCTCTTCAGGATGTGTTGACGATGTGTCGCTCCTATGAGGCTGCCAGGTGTGCCACCTCTGCCATCCGTGCTCCCCCTACAGCTGTACGCGCTGTTTCCCGGTACAAGAAGGACAAGAAGTCTGCTCCTACGCCTTCGCCCACCACGTCCACGCCCGGTTCATTTTGTAACAACTGTGGTAAGCAGCACGGAACACAGGTGTGTCCAGCTGCTCAGTCTACCTGCAACAGTTGTGACCGTAAGGGCCACTGGTCGCTCACAGTGCCGTGCCCAGCTAAGTACGTACAGTGCAATGTGTGCGGTCGTCTGGGCCACTATGACAAGTGTTGCCCTACCCACAAACCCAAGGGACAGCGTCGGCGGAAGCTTCGGCGCCCTTCTACCAGTGAGGGCCGCCCACAGTCGCCAAATCAGAGGCACGACGACCCTGGACAAAGCCCGACCCATATTAGGAGGGTGTACTCCTCGCATCCCAGGACCAAAGTCCCCCAGTATATCAGCGTCATAGTGGCCTACGGCGGTGTGTCATCCCGTCTTCAGATGTTGCCCGACACCGGCGCTGATGCTACAGTCATCGGCCCCCAGCATTTGCAATGCTTGGGGCTCTCTCCAAGCGATCTAGGACCGCCTCTCAAGGACCTCTGCGTCACGGCAGATGGTTCACAGATGGCCCCAGCCCTGGGTTTACTCTATGCACATGTCACCTTTGGCAACAAGTCGTGTCAGGCCTGGATTGACTTGCATAATGGTGTCCCGACTCCTTTGCTGTCCTACAGACATTGCCAAGAGTTGGCCATCATCTCCCAGGACTTCCCAACACCGATTCTCGAGGTAAAATACGCCAACAGGGTGCACGAAGGGAGCAGCAACTACCCTGCTGCCGCCCTACCCCTACCTCTGGCCAGTGACACCTCTCCTTCGGTAGTTGTCCCTGCTGCTTCACGTCCCCACGCCTTGGCTCGCCTCCACGACAGTCACTGTGGAGCCGAGGCCACCAAACGGCGTGCAAGACAGACTGTGTTCCGGCCTGGCATCGACCCCGACATCTCCAATGCTGTCCAGGTGTGTAAGCCCCGCCACGTATTACAACCCAGCCAGCAGCAGGTACCCTTCATGAGTGACGACAACCCCACCCACCCCTTTGAGTCTGTGTCGACCAACTTTTTCTGTGTGTCAGGAAAGTCCTTCCTGGTTATCGTCGACCGTCTCTCTGGTTGGCCGGTTGTCATCAAGGGCGGTAATGACACGACGTCTGCCGCCACCATCAGCAAGTTCCGCCACTACTTCCGTGGCGTGGGCGTTCCTGTACGCCTGCGAACCGACGGAGGGCCTCAGTTCACAAGCCGGGACTTTGCTGTGTTCCTCGACCGATGGGGAGTCCGGCATGTGTTGTCATCGCCCCATTACCCGCAGTCCAACGGCCACGCTGAGGCTGCTGTCAAATCCCTGAAGCACCTCATCCTTAAGGTGGCCCCTTCTGGGAACATTGACTGCGAGGCCTTCGACCGGGGTCTTCTTGAACTCCGCAACACACCTAACTACACCGGACGCTCCCCTGCCCAGGTTTTGTATGGACGCCCCCTTCGTTCTTGTGTCCCTGCTCACCCTCAATCCTTCTCCAAGGAGTGGCAGGCCAAGACAGAGGATTGTGATCGCCGAGCCGCCGAACGTGTTCAGGACGTCGTCGCCCGCTACAACGACCACGCCCGTTCTCTCCCCAGGTTGAGTGTCGGCACCCAAGTCCGTGTTCAGGACCCGACCTCCCTACGTTGGGACAAAGTAGAAGTAGTCATGGGCCTCGGTAGGTCACGGGACTACCAGGTGCGGTTACCCAGTGGTCGTGTGTGGTGGAGGAACCGCCGTTTTCTCCGCCCGTAACAATGCCTTCTGCTGGCCCCGCCACCAGTGTTGAGTCCCATACCCTTCCCAGTGATGAAGTCCCTCGACGCTCAGAACGGATCCAGAAGAAAAGGTCCGCTCAAGACTTTGCTATGAGCGTATAGGGGGGAGGGAGGTGTATGTATATTATGTATGCTGGATTATATATTATGTATGTATATTATGTATGTGCTCCATTTATGTATTATTTATTCAGCCTAGCTAGCAGCGTGTGGCAATGTTATTACCATATCCCACATGCTTAATTAATGTGCCTGGCGACGTATGGAAGCTGCTAATGTATCACTTGCCATACGTCGTCTATAGCAGTTGACAAGGAGCCTAGCTGAGGAGTGCTACCCCCCCCTCTGTGTACATACTCTTATCCAGTAAACCGAACCTACAAAACTATACAGGTGTTTGTGTTCTCTCCTGTATATAGAACTTATTATTCAGAACCTAACAGTGGTGATGTAGCCTTTGTCATCTGGTGGTGGTGGAGATGTAGCCTCTGTCATCTGGTGTTGGTGGTGATGTAGCCTGAGTCATCTGGTGGTGGTGGTGATGTAGCCTGAGTCATCTGGTGGTGGTGGTGGTGGTGATGTAGCCTCTGTCATCAGTCTGTCCCTTGTTCTTCACTTCTGTAAGGTTAGATGATATAAATAGTTATATAGATTTAATGATGAATACAGTTGATAGATTCACACTTACTAATTGGCAAAGCCAACAGATGCTTATTTACAGTAGGGTCCTTTGCTTAGGCTAGGTCTCTAATCAGTAATAGCATGTCAACAGGAGAAACAGTGAAAGTTTTCTGATCAATTTAACAAGCATTACATTGCACTTGGACTAACTGAGGTTGGCAGATCACTTCAACAAAACATATTTTGTTGTTAATACAGAAACAGCTTCATCTGTTATGTATTTTTTACTTTTAGATATTAATTGTTTTACACTATTACTGGTTTTGATGTAGTTTGGTATCTTGTTTCAATCTTTTATAGCTGTGAAGAAGAAAGTGGTTTTTGCTTGACTGCAAACACCAAGTACAGTACAGTACTGTATACCATATAATTATGTTCCCTCCCTCTAGTGCCTTGTCAATTCATATCCCTAATCCTTCCAAAATTTGGTGTTAAATAGTCTGGCCAGAGTCAGTTGAATATCCTATAAGAGTGATTCAGACTCAGTTGCTTCACTCTATCTGTCACACTTAAAATTTGGTGTTAAATAGTCTGGTCAGAGTCAGCTGAATATCCTATAAGAGTGATTCAGACTTAGTTGCTTCACTCTATCTGTCACACTTAAAATTTTCAGTGAGTGTAAGACTCTGAGACCAATGTGATCTCTTGCATTCATGTCAAGAGTAAACCTCGCTGCCTTGTTTTAAATAATTTTTAATTTGGGTTTTAGCTTCTGTGTTAAGGCTGAGTATAATGATGATCAGGAATAGTCTAAGTGACTTTGTATGAGTGCCAAGCAAAGGTTGCTATGGGCATCAGCTGAGACATATAGCATTTCTATAAACAAATTGTTTATCCTAACATAAGTTTTACTTATTATATTTGCAGGTCAGAAAATTCAGACTAATAATGTTTATAATTTTAAAGTATCATTTGGAAACCTTATTAATTAGTTTTTAAATTCACCTATGTTAGCTGTGTGGAAGTTGATAGCTGCCTAGATGCAGTAAATTTTGTTGTTATTGTGTAACAAATATACACTTTCTTCTCAGCCTCTACAAAACCCTGGGCAGTACTCAAATTATTCTTGAATCCTGACTCTACAGTACCAAAACATCTGACACTAAACTAGGTGGGAAGCACATGTAAAGGCTACTTCAGCCATAGGCGAGTTATACAGTAATTCAATTATGTACTGTAATGATGCTTTTACTCATGTCCATATTAATGTACTAATGGCAGTGAAGAGAGTGAAACAAGAAGAAAGCTGATACTGTATTCTTCTTGAGAAAACTGAGGAACTGGAATGTGTGTTCATGTTCATTGGTTAGATCATTTCCACAAACCAACAAGACCCTACAGGATCCAAAGATTGGCCTTAGCACTTGTACAAGCTTTACATATTGCTCACTAACTTCTTGAAATAAATCCTAGAATGTTTTGATGAAATTGGACTCAAAGCAAAAGGAGACCTGCCTGATGTAGACTACAAGTGTGTGAATAAAAGAGAGTGAGAAAAAACAAGTCAGTGATGGTGATGAAGCAAATGATGATGACAGGCTTTCTCCAAGAGACAAATTTTGAGTAAAATCTTTTATTCCCATGATGGATGCCCTTGAAACCAGTGTAAAAAAAAGACAGTCATATACAGTACAATGATGTTGCAAAAATATATACATTTTTAGTTGATTTAGAAGAACAGTTGTGTGACAGTGTAAAGTTTCTGATAAAAGACTATCCTGATGACATTGATGTTAACCTTGTTGGGGAAGTAAAGCATTTTAATGTTTATACCAAGAAAAATTATTCTAATAAAGGATATATAAGCCACTAGGACCTCTATCAAGTCATCTTCCAAAATAAGATTCATTTGGCTTTCCCTAATGTAGAAGCAATATTGTGGCTACTTTTCAGTCTAATAGTAACAAACTGCTCAGGAGAAAGGTAAATTCTGTAGCTGAAAAGAATTAAGAATGAACTTTGGACACCAATGCTGTGAGAAAAGTTCTCTGCATTAAGCTTTATGTGAATAGAAAGTGAATTTTTTTTTAGCTTATCATTGGACGATTTCATCCATGACTTTACTTTTGGGAAACTACAAAAGAAAATGTTTTAAATTTTATGTGATGTTCAAACAGAAGAAACAGTGCCAGTTGCATTACTGCTTCAATTTACTATGGGTGAAACTGTTTATTTTTTTATATAATAGTAGGAGTAACCGGACAACAGATTATCTCAACTGTTACTCAACTCCAGTATGACGAACAACTTCTGTTACCAAAATTGTCACGTATACTTGGAGTACACTTGACTTACTGTAAACTGTAGACTGGTCCTGTAGACTGGTCATTGACTGGGTCCTCTTAAGCTATGCTTTGCCAACTGTGTAACAATATCTTTTTTGTAACAGTATAACACAGTAATGGGGAAAACATAATATCTCTATCTGTTGGGTTACTGTTACTTGTATAACAACTACTTGTGAAGCTGTCATACATGTAACAACCTTCCTGGGTTGTCACCACTTGTGACAATCACTTGTGAAACATGTTACCTTATATTCTAGACGTACCAAAATATAAATCAAAGTTTATTGGGTCTTCAGTAACTTAATCCAATAGGTTCCTTTTGTGTATTTATTATAAAAGGTTTCTGTGTACACTTTCAAAAAAGATTATCACCGTAACTTAATCACTGTAGCTATGAGTGTTAAATGAGGATGGAGGCTATCTTAAATTAGCTCTTCTTAAATACATCTGATTGATGTGGGAGTGAGTGATCTCGAGTAGGGACCCTGGAGGGAGAACGGAAATATATCTGACGTCCGCCCTTGAGTAAAGACGGAAGCACATCAACGATGGCTATAAATAATGTCTTCCTCTCGTCAGGGTTATCAAACTACTGCCCGCAATAGATGGCCAGGGAGCCGGATACTTCTCCCTTAGCTCAGCACTAGGTGACGTGACTTCCCGTGGACACACCTTATCACGTGCTCTGAACATGAACCTCATAGCTAGTAGAAAGTTACAAGGGGTGATAGTTATACAAGTCTAATGTAATTAATCCATATTTATATAAGTATTTTTACCTATAAGACAGGGGCTAATGCAAGGGTTGATCTGTGCAATGTTTTATGTTAAAAGTCCCTAATTTCATATTTGCTAGTTAGGAAATCCTAAAGTATTTTATAATGTAAATAAGGCTTTTTCTAAGATGTATATGTTATTTAGATTATAAGTTGTTCATTGCATCTTTGCAAATGTATACTGTACAGTATATGTAAATACATAGTTTAAAAAAAAATTTATTGACCTTTATGTTAGAATGTAATACACCCTTTCTCACTATACATACTTTATTCTTTTTATGGTGTGGAGCCTCTAAATCTTGACATAGCTTAGGGCTTCAGCATGTCTTAATACAGCACTCCATCAAGCACTGATTTTAGTGATTATATAGTTACTACAGTACAGTGCAGTAAATTTAAGTTTAGTGTAATTAAGTTTGGTGTAATGCTGTACAGTGCTGTGCATATTTCTATTTTAATGTTAAGCATGTCAGACTAGCCAAAGTGCAGTGCCTCTCTCCACCCACCAAGGCTCCATCAATCATATAGTGTCCTGGAGTGTTCAGGTGTTACTATGCTTTTAAAGGGTAATATCAAATGAAGAAAAATTTTTGAAAGGTACTGGATATAGGGAAGTGTACAGATGAGGTGTGTGTGTGTGTGTGTGTGAAAGATAGGTGTAAATATGGAAGAGACAGCAGAGATGTCTAATAAATATGTTAAAGAAGAGGTACTGCATGAACCAACCTCTGGAAAACATATAACAACACACAAGTGAACATACTGGACGTGGCATGCTATATGTTTTACCTTGATAAGAGATGAGTTTATCTTGGGCCACTGCAGGATGAGTGAAGGAAGTGGGTGAACTTTTGACAGTTTCTCTAATGCATCTTTGTTGGTCGGTCCACTCAGTCTACTTCCCCGACCTCGCCTTCCTCTGTCACAATAAAAACTGAGTTAGTGAAATACTGTACAGGCATCCCTCAAGGTACAGAAGCTTGAGTAATGGAAATTCACATAAAAGGAGCTAAAACAAAATATGGAATAATCTTTGAGATACAGAGGAAAAACTTCCATTAGTTCCTGGGACACTGCACAGTACAGTACTGTATACTGGTGTTGGTTTGCTCAGATCCCATGAAGAATCTCCACCCCAACTTATTACACCTAAAGATTAACCACCTTAATGAAATTTGTGGGGATGAGGTTAGGTTAGGTTAGCATTTGGGTGGTTAATCTTTAGGTGAAATAAACTAGGGTGGAGATTCATCAGGTGATCCCACTATTACAAAGTGCAGTTAACTTGGTGGGGGGGGGGGGGTTCCTTTCAGTCTCCTACTGTGTTTTCCTTTTAATTTGTATACATGTTAAAAGCTTTATAAGGTAAGTTTAAAATTTAAAGACTAAAATATTTTGTGCACAGCAAAGTTAGCCACAGATCTGTAATGTGCAGTTAAGGGTTCAGGAATTTTGGGTGTATGTTTTAGGGCTGCAGTCCAATACTGTACCTTAAATTTCCCAATGAAATAAAAAAAATGATTTACCGGGTAACATGATTCAACACCACCCACACCTGCTGTGCTGATAGTGAAGTGAAAAAATTAAACATTAAACTTTGAGATGACTGTCACAGATTCATATAATTCTTGATGACAATCTTTGTTTTTCAAGAAAAAGTAATACTGCACAAGTATTATAACTAATTAAGATGAAACACTTTCAAATATTATTGGTAAAGGTGAAGGAGACAGTTACCACCAGAAGTAACTTATGGATCTGAACCATAATTCCTGGAGATACTATTTGCATGACACTGAAAACGAAAATGGAAGCAAGAATATATAGAACCTATTAGAACCTGACCTAACCTTATCTAACATCCTAACTTGTGGACACTTTCAGCAGACACCAGAAAGAAGTTGGAGGCCTTTTAAAAGTGGTGTTATAGGAGAATGTTAAGAAACGGGTACACTGAGAGAAAAACAAATGAAGAAGTACGATTAGCAAGAACTTCAAGAGAAATACTTGAAATGTACAGAAAAAGAAAAATGAGATACTTGGTCATGTAATTAGGGATGAGGGAATAATAACAAATATTAATGGGCAAAGTTGAGGATAGGAGGGGCCAGGGGAAGGCAGAGACTGGGATGGATGAAATAAATGAATAACTGGGTTCCCAGAGAGATACATAACCTCAGAGGATTGGTAAAAACAGCCCAAGAACATTTAGAATGGAGGAGTCCTCCACTTTAAATGTTCTCGGGCTGTAGTCGCCAACCCACAGATATGAGGAGAGTACTCTGTATAATTGATCTTTAAATTCTGTCATAACTGCAGTTGAAAAGTATAATTACAAACACAAAGCAATTGCTCAAGCACGATATCAATTGCTATGGGAGGAAATTGCAGGTGTTAAAATGGTATTTGCTCCCGTATTGGCACCGAGAGACAGTACTGTAACTACTGTATAACCTAAAGTTACCATAAATGTGTGTGGATATGTGCTTTCAATTGACTGAATAAATTGCAATTTAAGACACCATGAGACTTAAAGAAAGTTGCTTTTATTGGAACCTGATATCAAAGTAAGTACTTTCTGCTTAATATGGCAAGAAGTTCAGGGAACAGAGCCTCCCCAGCTAGGAAGTTGGGTAAGGTTTGGTAGGTTTCTTTGGTTGGTTAGTTCAGGTTCTATTAGGTTCTAGTAAATGTAGCCTCTTTTAAAATACTTACTATAATAACAAGAACATCTGTGGAAATATCATAAAATAAAAAGGTCTTAGAATTGTCTAAACATTACGAAAAACATACTAATAACAGTGAGAGAAAGACCGGTGCATGACTGAAATTTCACCCCCAATTTTCACTGACTATATTAGGGAATACTGTATTATGTTGGGAAAAAATATAAAATGGGTGAAATCATGTGTTAACCTAACCTAACCTATATCTTAAAACGCCTATATCTAGAAAACTAAGCATTTGCACAAGAAAATGAATAGAAGGAAAGGTGAATTTTTTATCTTGTACTGGTATTTTTCTCGCTGTTATTAATATGTTTTTCGTCATGCTTAGACAATTCTAAGACCTTTTTATTCTATGATATATCTGCCAGAAATTACGGACAACCGAAATAATTTTTCAATATTATTAGATTTGGTCAGTCACTAGTATCGCCATTTGTTGTTTACGTCTCACAGAGAAGGTTTGACCACCCATCACGCAGTGCTCATTGCCTCCGTGTTGGCTTCTTAAGTGTCTACAGGGCATGTGGGGGGAGTGGTGTGGGAGTTTCTTAATGGCTATAGCAATAGGAGACTTAAAATTGGGCAAGAGTTTTTGCCTTAGCAAATGAACAATGCGTGGGTGGATTGGGAGCGGAGATTTGATTTTTCAGTACCTTTTACTTTACTTTTACTTTTATCCTCTTCACCACTGATCGGCTCATCAGCCGCTTGGAGCGATCGGTCATGTCTCCGGCTGAACAGATGGAAAGAGCTGTGCAGACATTGTGAAAGAGATTATTTTACGTCAATTGTAGTTTCATCAGAAAAATAATGTTAGGTTAGGTCAGGTTTGGTTTTGATGTTTTTCTATTTGTGTGATTTACTCGAAATTTTTTTAATTTTTCGTTAAGATTGATGGGTAGGGTGGGGGTGGGGGGGGATCTCAAAAACTATTGATTTTCGGCTGAAAAGAATATAAAATTCGTTCAAAACCCATCAAATAACATCAGAAAAACATATTTTTAATATCCAAACAAAGACCGGTACATTAGTGAAATTTGACTGAAGGAAAACCATAATCAGTGTACAAAACTGTGGAATAACTGCAGTTTAAGAGAATATGGATCTCGAGTTGAGCAATTTTAAGACACTTCTTTAATAACGTATCCCTCGCAAATTACTTAAATATTACTGAATCATCATACAAGAAAACTGACTTAAAATTGTGTAAACAATCGGTAAAACACATTGCTCAACCACTAGGGGTATTGTCCAAAACCGCAATTTTACCAAAACTCTCTTTAAAAAAACTCATAATTACTTAACCACTGACGGTCATCAGCCGTATATTGGCCTTTGCTGCTTTATTAACTTTAGAAAATTAGATACTAGAATTAAAATAAGTACATACCTGCATCTGCTGTTTCCCATACACAGGTAACGTGGTAATGTAGTTCTTTTCAATTTATAACTGGCAAGTGACAGCTTCGTTACCAGGTAGATTTGTTTGTTTACTAATATTCTGGTTTCTGAGCGTGGGCAGTTCCTTTACCTTTATCGCATTTTACCCTCTATCAATAAGGCTAAAAACGTGATTTAATGGCCTATATATTATGTCATACTATTTATAATAATCTATAATTTATTTAACCTAGTCTTACTGTCATATATAAATATATATACAGCTGTGTTAAAAACGTTTATGCATTAGCGAACATCAATTCAATTTTCAATTTCAATTGCTTATTCCTTGATAGAGGAAGTGGGATCCTAGTGCTGTCACTAGGTACCCCTGTACAATAACACCAGAAGTATCTGGCAAGTGTGACAAGTATATACAGTATAAATATTATAAAGGGGCTTACTAAAGCCTAAGGAAGGAAGGATATTCCTTTAACACATTATCAATATTATTTACATTGTATCTGGGCAGTATGGGGAGGATCATCGTGTCACCGTCAGGGGGTCGTGGAGTGGTGGTCCAGCAGGCGTCACGGAAGCGTTGTGTGTGGGGACATCTTAGGAGGTAGTGGATAAAGGTGCGGCTGTCGGGGCTTCTGCATAATGCACAAGAGCGCTGCTCAGGGGATGCGGGATACCAATCTCGAACATCTTTCTTTATCGATCCTCGACCTCGGGCTCGAACCCATGAGGTACTGGAGAGTAGCACGCACACTATCGGCAACATGCATACCAGTTAAAATGTTATTTTAGGAATAATATGATGCTGAATTATATCTAACAACCTCAAAAATTATTAATTATTTGGCGATGCAGAAACTGCTTGTCGTAGTTTGCAGTAGGTCGTGACAGGCAGCAGAGTGAAGTGGTCAAGATCAGCAGTAAGTGAGAAGTCCCTGGGTAGGCGAAGGGGCTCGCCTAGGGTGAGATCCGCTGGGTTGCAGTCCATGTCCTCTTTGTGTGATGTGCGGATGCCAGGGAGCACTATGGGTAGAGCATCCGTCCACCTATAGGGGTCTCGTGCTGAGCCTTGATGGCGTCTTTCAACTGGCGATGAAACCACCCTACCATGCCGTTGGACTGAGGGTGGTAAGCAGTAGTGCGGTGCCTGGAAGTGCCGAGGAACTGCAGAAGACTATTACTTTTATCCTCTTCGCCACTGATCGGCTTGTTAGCCGCTTGGGCGATCGGTCACGTCTCTGATTACTTTTCCATTTCATTTATCTTCTTCACCAAAAGATCGGCTCGCTAGCCGCCCGGGCGATCGGCCACGTCTCTGTAACGCACTGTTGGCAAATACTGGGCATACACCGGCTCCTGAATGTACCTGAACCCGCTCCAGTGTTGGTCAAGTCTTGAAAGAGCTCACACTCGGTGCCGTCACTCTCGGTCAGTGATGACAGTCGTGGGAGGACCGAAACGGGAAACCCAACCAGACAGGAAAGCGCAGACGGCTGACTCTGCTGTAGCATTAGGCGTGGGAATGGCTTCTGTCCACCTGGTGAAACGGTCAATGTAGGTGAAGATGTAGGTGTTGCCGCAGGATGATGGAAGAGGTCCCACGATGTCGAGGTGCACTACCTGGAAGCGTACTTTGGGTACAAGAAAGGTTTCTAAGGGAACCCGTGTGTGTCGATGTATCATAGAGGACTGGCAGGCCAGGCAATGGGCAGCCCATTTCCGAGTATCAGCCTTGATGCCGGGTCAGACGACACGTTGCGTGAGATGGCGCTGGGAAGCCCGTACACCAAGGTGGCTGAGACCAGGGATGCGGTCGAAGATGGCGCGGTGGATGTGAGGCATAAACGGTCTAGGCTGCCCACACGACATCTCGCACCACAACTTGATGTTCGTGCCAGGAACGGAGAGTTCTTGGAGGGCGAAACCTGAGGGAGATGTCTTGTATGTGCTGCAAGGTCTTCGTCGTTCTCTTCAGCTACGGCGAGCTGTCTGTAATCCATGGGTGGAGATTAGTGAAGAATGCTGGATATACAACGAGTGTCGGCGATCTCGTTGTGGCTACCCTTGATGTGTTGGATGTCGCTGGTGAACTCCAAGATGTAAGCCAAGTGGCGAAGAATACGAAGTGTATGTGTCTCGGAGGCTGAAGCGAGGGCATGGACGAGGGGTTGTGATCAGTGAAGATGATGAACTGACGGGCCTCGAGGAAGTGCTGGAAGTGCTTGACAGCAAGATATATGGCCAGGAGCTCTCGATCGGAGGCGCTGTACATGAGTTGAGGTGGTTGAAGCCGCTGTGAGAAGAAGGCAATGGGCATGAGAGTTCCGTTGATCTCCTGTTGTAAGACTGTGTCCACGGCAGTAGAAGAAGCGTCTGTTGTGAGAGTGGTCCGGGGGTTGGGGGCAGGGTGGACCAACAGGGTAAGGCGTGTGATGTGCTGCTTGATAGTGGTGAATGCTGTAAAAGCCTCTTGAGTCCATATGAGAGGCTTGTGAGACGTCTTGGGGAGTCCCTTGAGAAGATCGTCGAGAGGGACAATGAAGCGGTGATAGTAGTTGACTGAACCCAGGAATTCTCGGAGCTTCTTCGCTGTTTCGGGTTTGGGGAACTCCTTGATGGCAGTTCTCTTCTGTGGTAGGGGTTGGATGCCGCTCGACGAGACTGTAACCGAGGAAGTCGATGGAGGAGTCTCCTAAGATGCACTTGGAGGGATGAACTTTCATGTTGTTGATCTGCAGGCGTTGAAGGAGCTGCTGTAGGTGGTGATGATGCTCGGCAGGCGTAGTCCAAAACTCATGTAGGCATACTTGAAGAGACCAAACGGAGTGGTGAGGGCAGTCTTCTGGATATCTGCAGGTGCCACTGGAATCTGATGGAAAGCACGCTCCAAGTCGATCTTCGAGAAGATGGTCTTGCCGTGGAGTTTGTGGTGGAAGTCCTGGACATGCTCCAGGCCCGTCGAGTGTTACGGCGGTGACGCTTAATGGGTTAATTGTTTCTTTATTTAGATTTACACAATAATCGAAACCAAACCTGGTGGTGGAGAAAAGGAAAGACGGTTGTAAAAGTGCAGCAACTATCTTGTGGCTTTCGGTGATTAAAAACTAGACATCATTATACCCAAGGAACCATTGAGTACTCGGTGCTGTAGCTTAGTGAGTAGTTCCTGTCGAAATCAGAAACAACCGTTTTTTGTCCCTGAAATAAACTCATTCATTTTTTTTTCTGAATATAAGACCCATGTTTTAATGAAAATTCCGAACTAAGCAACTATTGTTATCATTAATAATAATAATAATAATGGTTGTCCCACGTGCACGAGGATGGCCAGCCCAAGAGCCACCTAGGTTCAAGGTGTACAAGCTGTCGCCAACAACACCCACACCCTGAATTAACGAGTTGTATGACCCAGTGTCAAGGAATAGTCCGAGAAGACCGGACAACTCGCCAACTGCACTGGCTAACCAATACCCTGGAACACGATCCACAAATCAATTAACATCCAAGTTCCCAATTACTGCTGGGTAGACAGAAGCAAATGGCGTAAAGAAACTTGCCCATAGTTTCACCCTGCCCGGGAATCGATCCGAGACCACTTGCTTGCGAGGTGAGCATGCTGACCACTACACAGGTACCCAAAGGTTCTTTACCCCCCTGGCTGGAGTTCCGGAAGGGGAACCCGAAGTTGAAGAAAGGCCAGGCGAACACACACACACTCATTCAGTAGTTTGGAGATGAGGGACGATAACGGTGGGGCTCACACAACAGAAGTGCCAGCAGGCCCAGCACCTCGGCACAGTCACCCAGACAAAACACACGAGCACAGGTATAATATATTATTCAAAACATTGACAAGATACGGTATGTTGATAGGGCTATAATTATTTTATGAATAATAATATATAATCAACAGCACAAAGCATAGTGTATGTCCGTTCACCTGGCTTTTCTTCAACCTTGGCTTCCCTTCCCTCCAGTCTGGATTGTGACTGTACCATAAACTATATCATTACTATTTTATCTTAGACCAAGTTATTACATTTAGTCACCGTGTCGTCGCTGATGTGCAGTTATTATCAAATATCATGTGAGAACTGTGAAACTGGACGAAGCTCACCCATCCAAGAGAATAAGTATCATGTTGTGGGCGGATGTGGAGGAAGAACGTACGCCCACGCACGCCCACACCACCACCAGAACAACAGCAACGTACTGCATGGTGATCCACACTTGTCAGGTGTTGAGTTGGGGAGGACACAACCTCTCTTCCTGAAGATCAATCTCACAATGAGCACTGTTCAGTGAGCAGGCAGAGCGGCTGAATTTAGTCTGAACCTGAACCGGCTGAGGTGCTGACAGTGACTTTGTGATGAATCGGACCAAGGACAAGAAGGTATGATGGTGACGAAACATTTGACAACGGCGTCAGCGACACCCTGATGCTGAATTTGAAAATGTTACCAAATTGGCGAAAATTTTATAACTTTTATGACTATCATAATAAAATAATGAGGTTTTACAATATAACATATTTTCATACCAATTTTATCTGGTTGTATTATAGTTAAAAAAAAATCTGCTCTCCTGTGTCTGACGTCCTTCGCAACGATCGTGGTTTTAACTGACGGGTCAAGTTCATTTGGTGAGGTTGGTACTTTTGATTGTGTGATGTATTGTGTAACCAATACGATGTATTCTGGAATGCATTTACAACCCGTACGAAAACCATAAAATTTTATAACAGTAAAACTACGCTGTATCTACCCGCCTGCTAATGTGTGCCACCCTACTGTATAGTAAATGAGTTGTCATAATATGACAACTTATATAAAAATTTCAGATATGAGATGCAGCGACTTACTGTACGTGTAAATCCTCAGTATCATAAACCTATATTTCGCATAGAGTAAGTTTTAAGAGTGAAATAATACAAGATCTCATCCAGGAAGAAAACGCAAGAAATAAATAAGGTACAACATAACACATGGGGAACTGAGTTGCTGTAAATTAGCAAATGTGTTATGGAACGAACTTATGAAACCTCTTTATTATACCACACATGATAAGAATTGGAGGTTAATTGGGGTTATCTGTTAGTTATATTCATAGAACAAAGACATTGCCTATGATATTTAGTATCGTATAGCACTGAATTTCAACAGACGAAGTGTGCTACCTTAACATTAAACATCTCCAGGGTCGTCAAGGCAGGATAGAGTTTTCAATTGACATCCAGCAAGTGAAGCCATGACAGACGCCTGGGGAAAACCTATGTAGTCGTCGTAAGATAAACTGAATTATTCATTTATAAAAGAAAGAAACCGAATCGGCCTGCAGCTTCGCGCACTATTCATGTTCCAGAAAGTAAGTTTTGGCTCGGGAAAGACGTCTTTTAAATAGCCTTATAGGTTCGGTTAGGGTTGACTTTTTCCTACATTTGAGTAGTGAACTCTCAGAACCCCTTATAATCATGTTCTGCAATAGTTAGAAATTGGCTTCTGTGAATCCTATGGAGTATTCAGAAAGGGTGATCGTCACTTCACGAACACTTACAGGCCGATGAGTTTGATCAGCATAGTGCATAAAGTGCTAGAGAGTATTATACGAGACGCCGAGATGCAAGATCCTCGTGAAGAAAGCCAGCACGTGTTTAAGCTCGTACCCTCAGCTTCAGCTTGTAATTGCCGAATATGTGAGCACAGATCCTGGAGCGTGGTGGCAATGATAATATATACCTTGACTTCGTTATCATGTTAATAAGTTACAAGGACTTATGCGAGTATCTTATACTGTACATACCTAGATGATCCGTTTCTCATAATGATCTTCAATGGTATGGTATGGTATGTTTGATCCCCGAGATTTGCTAAAGACTGCCAGTTGATTGATAAAGTCCACAAGGGGGCCATCAAACTGGTGCTGGCACTTAAGCACCTCACGTCTTCACTTGCTTAGTTTATACAATACCTCGAATGTATAAGCTAAGCAAGTGAAGACGCGAGGTTTGAAGTGTTGGCACAGTGGCCCCCTCTGGACTTTATCAATCAACTGGCAGTCTTCAGAAAATCTCGGGGATTTAATAGAAGTTGATAAGAACATCAATGGAAACTACCCAGTGAAGTGTTCATAACTAGATGGAGCTAGCGGATGGCTGTCCCACTAGAGATCACTGCCTCAAGTTAAAGCCACAACTTAAAAAATTTCGAGAGCTAACTTCACTAAAAGTTTATAACTTAATTTTTACCTCTCGAATATATGTATATAAAAAGTTTTGAGGAATTGTAATATTATGTAGACGTCTTATAAAACAACTTCAGGTTGTGGATAAAACCTCACATCGTGAATCACGACTCTCAGATATTATTACGACGCCATTTTCCTCGTGTCTGATGATAGAATACATATACTGTACCTGGTTGAGTTAAACTGAAATACAGGAATAATTAAAAATAACAGCATGAATATTATATATTTCCACTCAGCACCGGTAGTTTGTAAAATTAAGATACAGAATACCTTGAAAATTCTTTGATAATTTTGTTTGATGTTCAGTAAACATATATAAATACGATAAAGACTCCATATATTATTATTAATTTTTTACTATCTGAGGACTATTTTTGTGCTCTAATTGAAATTAACCAGTTTGGTGCCTTCTTTCTTCTTTATTTACGAATTAATTTTCACCACACAACCCTCTAGTGACCTTGAGCTGTTTAAGGCATAATATAAAAGACAATATCAGTTTTTCTGTGTATTATAAAGAAATTTATTTAGCAAAAATGCATACATGAGTCAAATATCCCCAATAAATGACAAACATGAAAAATTCGTCATACCGAGGAGGATGTTGATGACACTGAAAGGGAGTTGATACACACATGGTTTGGCACTCACTATATTCTTGCTGTACACCCAGATATACCACAACCTGTGTACAAAATAAAAAAGACTTTGGGTCACAGTAACCTGACGTAAAGTTGTTAGGTTAAGTTGGTTCGTGTTTGTTATGAATATTTTGTACACAAGCACACATGCCTAACAAATATATAAGGAGGGCTGGCCAGTGTGTGTATCAACAGTCTTTTGAGTATCTATCACCTGCAAGTCAGTTTTTTGAGGGCCCGTCTTCATAAAGAATCCAAATGTTAATATTGTCTCCTAACTGGTTATAAAAGTATGTATTTTACTGAAGTACAGTTTCTATGTAATTTGGTTACCATTTTGGAAGTTATATTTGTGCTTTATCTTGATTAAGTCCGCTAGTTAGGTACAAATTAAGACATCTCCAATTACGAGGAAAATTAAATTCTGAACCTTTGAGAATTCAGGCCCTGAACACCAATTTGTCATGGTGTGCTCAGTGACTCCTGTCTAGATAATATATACCGTAGATAATCACTCTAGGATTAAGGTCCAGGAGGTGTTTAGAAAAAAGACCGAAGCGTGGAATTATCAATGATTTTGAAACCAGCTTGATGGTCTTGTACCCTTAATGATGGTGATGATGATGATGACGATGGCCTAGCCGCATAATGGTTGTTACAAGTATTACCATGAGCAGGAACCACAAAGACAATTTTCCATAGTTCTTTTGTTTTTAAGCGACAAGAACCAAAAACATCCTAACCTATCCTCTACTACCCAAGGATAGCCAGGTTAGGTTAGCTTACGATCGGGGTTCTGTTAAATAATAATAATAACAATAATAATAATAATAATAATAATAATAATAATAATAATAATAATAATAATAATAATAATATATGTTTAACTGTCCTGTTTGTGGTTGCTTCTCTAACATTGGCCACTTTGCACCTCATAACCTCACTACCACTGTGAATTATATTTCATCTATTAGGTAGGCTGTTTGACACCTTACTGCTTATAACTAGATATATATACTGTATATTTATATGCGTATTCTAACCTACATAATTAAATGAAGCACATAAGGGCGAGACTTAACAGTGACAGAAATCAGTTAAACATGGTTCACAGTAAGAGAAAATATTGTACAGAGACCAGGATATATCCTAAGGGGCGCGCATTCTCAGAGGATCCCACGATAAATATTAATTTTAAGTGAAAGAGCAAAACTGTATCGAAATAATTCTCAAGTGATAAAACACAACACGCCAAAAATATGTTACACAGAGACTACCTTAACTGGATATATTCACTTAGCACATTACAAAATTAAGGTACAAAATGTCTAGGATATATTCTGTAACTTAATGTTCTCTATTGACTGTAAGTTAACGTATACATATAAGACAGTGTCAGTATAACGTTCATGATAGTTGTTGTTCGTTAATGTTGTCCTTTGGCTTAAGTCAACCAATTGCATCCTTACACCTTCACTTATGAGAAACATTCATCGTACGAATCTTTGAGAATCTGGACCCAGTATGGCTACGCATGTTCTGAAGTTTCCCAGCCTTGTCTTACCCTCCAAGAAACATTATTTATAATGCTGTGTGTGTGTGTGAAATTAAGTACATATCATATAATCTACAGGATATTATACCCTAACATAACATATTTACAACACTGATTTACTAATAGTTTTTATCTTAATATATTTTAAAAAATATCGGGAACTTTGATACAAGAGTCAACCCTCAGTGATCACCTCAGCTGCACCTCATACTTCAGACCAAACACAGTAAAGGCAACTTGGTAGTGATTACTTGTTTCATATTTTTTTTTAATTCTACAGATGCAGATAATACTTTAATTTTCCAATCATAAATAATACTTATTTTTTCGGTCATTATTAACAGGACAAAGTGTTAATTACTTTTTTTCAATATCTTTAATTGTTTATTCTCGTTGCACTCACTGACACCAGCACAATGCCCAATATTTCCTACAATAGTGAGAATATTGTTTCCCACGTTCGTTTGACAGTTATAGACGAGGAATACCTCATTAGTACAGAACACAGTACAGGGTATCTTCGTCATTAATGTTTACTACACGAGGACAGCTTCCACGACACTGCCTGACACCATACATACTAAATTTTGTCTAACCTTTACAAAAAAAAACATGACTACACATACAGTAGTCCTGTGTGTGCGAGTTTCATTACAAAAATAAGTTGATTTTTTTTCCAAATCTTAACCAGACAAAGTGTGACTCCTGAATGCATTAGTTGTAAGCATTATTTTTCATTTGAGTTAAATTTGGAAACACTTGCTGCGAATTTTAATATTTATCACTTACATCTGATAACAATATCAGTTCAAAAGTTGATTTTTTTTAACATGGATATTTCTTATTACCTAGCAGTAGTTTTATTTATGCGAGGTGTCTGCATGGGGGAGGGGAGGGCTGGTGAAACTGGGTATATACTGTATATGTCGTGTTTACATGTTACCTAACTCACGGTGGCCACCCGAGCAACTAAAAATGCCTGAAACGTTAGCATATCACCTAATATACACCGGATAGAACTGTGATACCTGCCACTGTTCTGGAGTCAAGCAGTCAACTCCAGTACATCCATATACAACACCTGTCTCTTAGAGAGTTGACAGTACAGCATGGAGACAATGTAACCCATCTTGTTAGAAAATAAGAAAATACTAATCAAAATGTCATTAATGCATAGAGAGGATGGTGAACTCGAGGTACAGTTCAAGAAATGCATCAGATTCTGTTAAGAAAGTGGACCATAATGCATGAAGGGTAGTTAGTCTTGGTCCGTTATGAGCGTCTGCTGATGCCCACATGTTACATGCCCATGGTAGTTACATAATTAATATTTACCTATTTCCTAATTTTTACTCGTTTCACTATGAATATATACCAATATTAACACACAGACGATTTATGACCGTACTAGTGTACAGTAGTTCAAAAGATGATGTGCAATCAGGTATTTTAATTTCCGACTTCATTTACCTGGTAGCTGTAAGACAGCTTCGACCCAAGGCTACAGAGGCCAGAGTGTCCGAACCTTATCTGACAGTTGACCTGTGAGGTGACCGTAAGAGTAGGCTGGCTGGTATGGTTGGGGAGTGAAGATCTTGCCACTGTCCTCGTAAGTTGCCGTCTTCTCTTCGTTTGGCACTACCGGGACCACTATACTGTTGAGGTGATTCTTCTGAGGGAGCAACTTTGTACAATCCTGAAAATCGAATCCTTTTTTCTCAGAGTGCATGAACCTGTGGCTGTTGAGATGACTCTCTTGGGTGAAGCGTTTCCCACACTCCTCACACTCGAATTTTTTCTCCAGACTGTGCACGAATCTATGACTGCTGAGGTGGATCTGTTGGGAGAAGCGCTTTCCACAGTCCGGACACTCGTACGCTTTCTCTTCACTGTGCACAAACCTATGGCTATTGAGATGGCTCTTTTGAGTGAATCTTTTGCCACACTCAAGACACTCAAACTTTCTCTCCTCACTGTGCACAAACTTATGGCTGTTCAAGTGGCTTTTCATCATAAATCTTTTGCCACATTTCTCACATTCATATCTTTTCAGATCATTGTGGACAAACCTGTGTCCATTGAGATGATTTTCCTGTGACAATCGTCTTCCCCAGTCCTGATTTTCAAACTTTTTCTCATCACTGTGCACAAACCTGTGGCTGTTGAGGTGCACTTCCTGGGTGAAGCGTTTCCCGCACTCTTTACACTCGTACACTTTCTCCTCGCTGTGCACAAAGCGATGGCTGTTCAGGTGGCTTTTCTGAGCAAACCGTTTCCCACAACCTTCACACTCGAACCGCTTCTCCTCTGTGTGAACAATCCTGTGGCTGTTGAGGTGACTCTCCTGGGCGAACCTCTTGCAACAAATCTCACACTGGAACCTCTTCTCCTCGCTGTGCACGAACCTGTGGCTATTTAGGTGACTCCGTTGAATGAATCTTTTACCACAGACCTCACACTCAAACTTTTTTTCACAGTGCACCAACATATGGCTGTTGAGGTGACTCTTGTGAGTATATCTTTTGTTACACAGCTCACACGCGAATTTTTTTTCACTGTGCACCAACATGTGACTGTTGAGGTGACTCTCCAGAATGAATCGCTTGCCACATATTTCACAACCAAATTTTTTTTCACTGTGTACAAGCATGTGGCCATTAAGATGACTCTTCTGCACAAACTGTTTGCCACAAACCTCACAGTCAAACTTTTTCTCTGTGTTATGTACTAGCATGTGGCCATTCAGGTGGCTTTCCATCGTGAATTTTTTCCCACACAAGTCACACTCAAACTTTTTCTCGCCTGTGTGAACCAGCATGTGACTGTTGAGATGACTTTTCTGGGCAAACCTTTTATTACATCCATCACACTCGTATGGCTTCTCACCAGACTGTAGCCACATCTCAATCTGGGAGCGAAGTTTATTTTGCTCCTTCATGAGGCTGTTGTCCTCGAAATGCACATTACCGTACACATTGCTGGCTGGGTGATGGAGCAGCTGAGGCCCATCAAACCCCGTCTGCGTCACCTTGTGGATCTTGTTGGGGTATTGAGGGTGAGGCTCAGCCATGGTAATGACTGATGCTTTACGTTTATCTTTACTTCATAAGAACAATGCTCATCACTCCACGCCGCTGGCTTCCTGGCTCCTCTCCTACACTAACGGAGGACCTGCACTTGTGAATACTCGCCAGTCTGGTGTCTGAAATAATAGTCGCATGTTACAAGAAAATGAAGCATAAACGTAAAGCAAATAATGCATAACGAAGACATTATTATTTCTACATATAATTAGGCTATTGTAAAAAAAAAGGGGGGACCACATTAAGATTAGCACCCCAAGTTATCTCACCTGACGATTTAACGCCCTAACGCTATCCTAACAGAACCACAATAACACATAACACCACCAGGGTAACACATAACACCACCAGATTAACACCTAACACCACCAGGGTAACACATAACACATCAGGGATAACACAAAACACCAGGGTAACAACACACCAGGGTAACACAACACACCAGGGTAACACAACACACCAGGGTAACACAACACACCAAGATAACACAACGTACCAGAATAACAGCACACCAGGATAACACAACACAGCCATTATTTATATTATACCAATTAACGTATAATATTGGCAACTGGATAATACATGTATTATGAGATCACCTTAAGACTAGCCACTCTACCTTATTACACCTGATTAAACACGCTAACCTAACCTAATGCTAACCTGATATAACCTAACTTCACAATCTAACTTAACTTAAGCTAGTCTGGTGTATCCTTACTCCCAGGTTACGATAGGGTGATTAACTTTCAGGTGGGTCCAACTGTATCAGAATAATACCAGAACACGTCACAACAGCACCCTATATAAAAATATATATACATATATTAAAACTTTATAAAACGAAAATCACGAAGCAGATTATTTTTGAGAAGCGATAGGGAGTGGAGAGGCGAAGCGGAGGTGTGTGCAGGGAGGGAGGGAGGGCGGGCGGGGGAAGAAGAGCCATTATAAACCTCCCCCCCCCCTCCCCCCCACACACACACTACCTATGCCTGCTGTAGCACCCAGAACACTCCCTCCTTCCCCCACCCCAACCGCTTATCCTACAGACAGAAATACACAAATAGCCTTAGAAATGCCCAGGGGATAATGTTATGATATTTATTCTGTATATAAACGACATGAGACTTAAGGGGAGTTAGGTCAGGGTGGCTATTCTTCAGGTAAAATCAGCCTAGGGCCAATCTTCATGCAATCCTACAAAACTACCGTATTTTTAACTGAATAACTATATAAATTCCCATATATGGCCAATCCTGGGTAAGGTGCGCTCATTACAAACATTGAGTACCGCATAGTTATAATGAACTATCGGTATCACCCTATCATCTGTTATGTCAAGAAGAATGTGCGATATGTGCCACGAGTCTTATTCTCAAAGGCTCGTATGAAGGACATTAACTGCTTGACTTACAGTATGTTAAAACAACACAAAAACGGACAAAATTAATATTTATTTACGCTATTGCAGACTATCGTAACGAGATACAGTCACTTAGCAACAGCACAAAAGTTTTCTTTCCTAAATATTCTTTCACTTAATTTTTTCCGTAATCTGTGCTAATTAATGAGTATATCTAATGATGTCAGTGTTAGTGTAAATTTGATGCCATTTGAGATTTTATTTCTGTGTCTTCACTGTTAGGCGCATTCTTATTACAGTACTCTTCGGGTGAGAGGACGACTGTTAATTGCCGGAACCTTTAAAAGTCTGGACCTTGAAAATCTCTATATGTATCTTTTATAATTAAGAGATGCTAACTGTATGTAAATGTCAGTATCCTTGTATGTCTATGGCGATATGTTGGTGCGGGTTATTGTTGTCGTGTAGGCAGGGAGGCGGGGAGGCGGGGGCATTGTCTGGTGTTCACGGAAGTGTGTGTGCGTCTGTTCGTATGTGTGTGTGTGTGTGTGTGTGCACTTCAGTTTCAGGAGGGGAGGAAGAAAGGGGAGAAGCCCCGCCTGTAAATATTTTCACCGTAAGCACAGCAGGAATATTGTTTATACTGTATCACAGGAAGTCAAAGCTGAGTTTTTCAAGGTGGTTATAGAAACGTATGGCGAGCCAGCTTACTACTACCTCATGTTTGCCGTGGTGTATCTGTATGTAGAGGCAAAAAAGGGCCGCCATTTCGTTTTCAAATTACAGTACAAGATTTATTGTAAAATATATCCATACTGATCACCTCACGAGAGAAACCCCGTAAGAGATGAGAGAAAGTCGATAATCTTGGAGCACATGAAGAAGGCTATGGGGTGGTAGGGGCGCGGGCGGGCTAGAGGAAGGGAGGGTTGGTAGGTGGCGGAGGGAGAGTGGGTGGCGGAGGAAGACAGGGAGGGAGAGTGGGTGGCAGAGGTACCCAGGGAGGGTGAGTGGCGGAGGGAGGGTTGGTAGTGGCAGGGAAGGAGGGAGGGAAGCTATTGTGTGGCGGAGGAGCATCACACCTCTGGCAGGCTTCACTGTTGCCAACCCAGGAGCCACACGAGAACCGTCAACCCCGGCAATGGTGCTCCTCCTGAACACCGAAAATCGCGAAACACGTTAGCACTTCAAGATACAATAAATACAAGCCCTTATTTATGGTAATATTCATATTTTAAGAAAATATGGAATGCGTATATAATTTCGGCTTAAAGTCTTATGACAATATGAAAACACAGTGAGATGCCATCAATATTCGTACAAGATATGAAGTCAATGGATAAGAGTTCATGTATAATAATAACAATGCCGGTATTTTATTATTTCCTTAAAATAAATTAGACAAATTCTAAATGACACCTATGTGTTAGTTTATTTGTAAGGTGTGATGTGATTATTGTAGCTAATTAAGCCATATTTTCACCTCTTAATTATATTACTACCACGCTTCGTGATTTTCGGTGTTCAGTAGGACCGGGGCGACGTTGCTCCCCGAAGCTGCGCGAGAACCTGTGCGCCCAAACCTGCACATGAATCGAACACCAGCGATCGTTACTGTTTACAATACACTGACACTCATTTTCTACGGTTTTGAAGTAACCAACACTAAAATACCACCAGGGAGACACAATGTCATGAGAAGTTATACATGCTGGGGTAAATGATGGCGTAAAACTCACCTTGTTATTCTCACAATGGATAACGTCGGGTTGCTTAGTAAATATAAGCTCCATTCTGAAATATTCTACACTGTCAATGGTTTGCGCTTACCTGGACCGTGAGTCGACAGCGTCTCCCAGTAGTTGCCACGGCCAATGTTCTTTTTCATGCATTGTCGTATGAAGAATGTCGGTGGAGAGGTATGAAAACTGTCACAGGAGGCGCCACCTTGGTAGGGAAGGATTCAGCCCTCCTCTCACTAACACGGTGCCTGGAGGTCATAGGACATCATCTTGGCGTTGGCAGCACTGCTACATTACCGTTTTCTATTGGGATCCATTTTCTTTTACTTTTTCCAGGAGGACTCAAGAAAACAAGTATAGCAAGCGGTCGGAAACACTCGTACGTTAATTTTCCTCATCTAACTATATTATTATGAAGAGAACGTTTTCATAGATCCATTGTAATTCTGATGCCATTTTGGGTGCAAGGTTTCAGTACTGCAACCTCAATGTGGCAGTTTGATGCATTTTCACATTTCCAGATGCGAAGAAAATTTAGCTTAAGAGACTTTGGGAATCCGAGTCCTGAAATCGATTCCCCCTTCTTTAATAAACGCATTTTCATCTGTAAAATGTCTCGTAAATTTTTATGAACGAATAAATTTCTGTAAGACAACTAAAAGACCTCCCCGTTATTTCTTAGTGCTATTTATCTCAATATTTACCATAATGTAAAGATGGAGGGGGAGCCACGCCCATCTTCTTGTACACAAACTGACGCCACTCGCTCAAAACATCAATACACCGAGAGCATAATTGTACGGTACATTTAGTATAACATATTCACCGAACGAGATTTGTAAGTTTTAACAAGTCTAATAAAATAAAAGGACATTTAAGGCATCCAAAAATTTCACAACTTTGTGTACAAATGAATAGGTAAAAAAAAAATCAGCGAAGGATATCGACCAGAGGCTACGGTGAGGCATCAATACACCCAACACCGATCGCTAGTAATTTCAAAGCCGTATTACATGTCAACAAAGGCTGAGAAGGCAGCAAAGTTTGTGAAGGCAGCAAGGTTGTGAAACCAGGAAGGTTTTAAATGCAGCAAGGTTATGGAGGCAGCAAGATTGTGAAGGCAACAAGGTGTGAAGGCAGCAAGAGTGTGAAGGCAACAAGGTGTGAAGGCAGCAAGTTATCTTATCATAAGATGAAACAACGTCATCTGAATATTATGGCCGCCCTAAGATGGTTCTGAGATTTAAAAAATGTAGACGATTCAGCCGTGCTCAGAAGATGGTTTCAGCCGTGCTCACAAGAATGTTTCAGTCGTGCTCAGAAGAATATTTCAGTCGTGCTCACCAGAATGTTTCAGTCACGCTCACAAGACTGTTGTTTCAGCCGCGCTCACAAGAATGTTTCAACCGTGCTCACGTGACTGTTTCAACCGTGCTCACAATAATCTTTCAGTCGTGCTCACAAGAACATTTCAGCCATGCTCACAAGAATGTTTCAGACGCTCGCAAGAATGTATCAGACGCGCTCACAAGAATGTTTCAACCGCGCTCACAAGAATATTTCAGCGGCACTCACAGGAATGTTTCAGCCACACGCAAGAATGTTATAACTATGCCCACAATAATGTTTCAATCATGCCCACAAGAATGTTTCAGCCGTGATCATATTTAAAATTCAAGCACTGAAACAAAAACTCCATTAATATTTGTATTAATTCGTCTAAGAACTAAATCATATTACGATTTTTGTTTTAATACGTAAAGATGGGGAAACAATCCCCAGTATGTGACAATTATGAATTAACAAGTATATTTGTATCCCAGTGGAGTGGTGGTTATATAGGAATCTGTAATACAGTATATTGGTCTCTTTCCCCCTGGTCCTCTTTCCTTTAACTTTCTCTCGATAGTCCATTTACAGTGTCTTCTAAGCTGTAAAAAGTAAGAAATCTTCTGCCAAGTATATTCAGTTAATATCATATCCCCTACCTAGCCAAGTTACAATAGTGAAATTAATCTCATTAAAAGATGATAATTTTATAAACTCCAGAGAAATTTTTAGTTTTCGATTTTTTTATAATGCCTACATTTCTATAAAATAACATTGTGCCCAATTTTAATGCAGTACATCAAGCTTTATGAAAAACTAAAAAACTTAAAACGAAAGATTTTTATCACTCAATTTGCACGGCACAGTACTTAGGATACGGTTTCAAGTTGATTTACACCGCCAATGTTCATTTAGCTTGCAAAGATAATTACGAAAATGTTACTTTAGTGCATAAAGATGATTACAAAAACACTAATGTTTGTTTAGTTTCAAGATTAAATCCAGAACTATATTGTATAAACCTGTCAACATACATATACACACACATACACACACACACACACACACACAATCGTCCTGTTTATTCATGGACAAGATGATAATCTGAAGGCATTTCCTTTGTGGTTGGCGGGAGGGTCAGGCCAACCGTCGAACACGTGGAGGTATGTTGAAGGCGCCCAAGATGGTGTACTGTAGAGTGTAGACTGTAGAGAACATAATGCCATGGAAGAACGTGCCCGAGGCTCAGACCACACACCAGCTACTTGTAAACTGTTCAACATACGTGACACAGATCAAGACGGGGACAGGTAGTGCGGAAGTGTTAAACATCTTACCCGAGCAGATGTTCTTGCCTCCAAGTGTTTACAATTGAGAGACGACTGAGCAAGCAAGATGTCGTGTGCCATTAAATACCTCTTAAACATTGTAGAGCCACTAGCCTACTAGGTCTGGGTCCTGATTTACAAGTGTTTGTTATATAATAGTACACTTAAATAACTAATCTTTAAGCGCGAATTCTATATTATTTTTAACAACAATCATCAACAATCAGATTTAACAGATTCATTTCGCTTGTTATTAAATTTCACAACATTCTTTATCTTAGTTATTTCCCTAACTATTAACATGCTAGGCTTTAGTAGAGTCGCAGTGTAATTTTGATACAGTACAACACCACAGTTTTGGTGTTTGGTTTAAGTGAATGAGTTAGGAACATTTTTTTTTACATATACAGGTACAGAGAAATTTCACCTTAAGATCTTTTGTGAATATAAAATCTGGATACAAAGGGTCCGACTCCCCCGTTTAAAATTAACATACGGCCTTAAGTAACATTTAAATGGTCACCGTGTAAATATTCACAACTGCCGAGTTTTAAATATCTCTTGAATATTCCTCACAACTTAAAGACACTGCACTGTTTAAGAATACACCTAACTTGTTTAATTTTGGTAAAACAAATTAACATCCAAAAATAACATCGGATTATACCGACTGTGCCTTAAATACGTTCACTAACACCATCACGAGCCAGCTGACGTATATATTTGGAAGTATTTAGTCCCTTAATTTTGTTTCTTAAACGATGGTAAGTAGACGTATATAGTTAAGGTAATCTCAATATAACTTTTGTCTTATTTTTGGATGTTAATTTTGTGTTTTAGTTTAAGTCAGCATTCTATGTTTTCTTACGGTTAAAATTACGAGGAATATCCTTATTGCGAACCTTTGAGAACCTGTGTGAAGGGGAGGACTGACCCAGGTGCAGTGACAAAGACAGTTAGATAATCTTCTCCCCTTAGCACACCCAGCCTATTTCATCTGATGATTAAAAAACACCCTAACGCTACCTGGGGAGGTTAAGTTTGGTTCGGGGTGTTTAATGAGCTGGGAACACTGACTTCCATGTTATCCTTGACGACCGCATTACACTGTCATCTCGTGGTAAACTTAACGCACTTGGTCAACATGGTAGTTTGAGATTAAAACTTGACTGTTCAGCAATGTTAAGACAGCCGATACACTTCTCCCGACGGAGTCTTATACCACTATAGTAAACTACATCCCTTGATAACCTTTCGTCCCGCCCAGGAAGCTGTTAGGCCCTGCTAATCAGTACCTAAAATAAACTTAAAACTCGTCCACTTTACAGAAAAATATTAATTACTACTATGTACATTTCTGTTAACCTCATCCCATAATTTTTGGACCAAATAGTAAAGTAGGTTATACGTCCAGAATTATGACTGCATCTAGCCATCTATAATTTATTATAAAGAGTTTGTTTCTTTCCATAACTAACTTAGCTGTAAAATTTAACCACGTATGGAAGCCGATATCGACATATAGTAGTTAACAAAACCAATTTTTCCTTGGCAGAGGTAACTAATAAGTTCCTTTCCCCTGCCCCCCCATTTCCTACTAAAATGGGCTCTATACTGTACAGTACTTGTAAATACGTCTTTCAGTTAATGAACATTTTTTTGGTCACGGGAAAGTATATGGGTTACCTTGTGACTTTGGTTATTTCTTATCCAACCTAAGTCTGAGAACACTTCTAACTGGCTGATCTAATCTACGACCTATTCTTAAGGAAGTTAGTAAGAACAATCACTAGAAAATATTTAGTTTATTTCACCCTATAATGTGCATCCTCATATCTTAGTTACGATGAATGTCCATTGTACGAGCCTTTGAGAATCTACCTCTAATAATAGATCCAGTGCTTAATAAGTTGAACGAGCCGAAAATTATCATTAAATCCAGTTTCTAATGACAAAACTCTATACGCTGATATTGTAGAAGCACATGGGCTGAAGCCTACATCAAGTAGTGGACTGATGCAAGCTGACTAATTCCGAGACTGTATATTAACGAATTAAGCTCCCAATTGGTCTTAAAGTCCGAAACATATGGTAAGGGAAAGTGGGCATAAACCAGCTTTTCAATAATCAATGCATCACGGAAGCGATACGGTGTTGTACGTCTGGCAGCGGATCACGGCTAATTCCCTGTTTACTGATATTACTATTGATCATCCTTCTTTAGATGAACATTATCATCTCACTCTGGGCATTCCTTCTTCCCTTTGATGCTGAAAAGTTAGTAATGATTTTGTTGACATCACTTGTCAACTGAGTTTATGGAAGTTTTGAAGAAAGGTAGTTGCTTTTGGGCAGATTCCCTGTGACTATCATCATTAAGCGTTGGTAACACTGCTACAGTGACTATGACGTCATAGACCGCCTCCGGAAAATATGTTCGAAGTCTCGCCCACTTTCCCTTGCATTTTCGTGTGAGTCAAGCCGATATATTTTTTTATTATACTTCTCACGTTAGTTATGCTAATATATAAGATATATTAGAGCATTTTTAGCTAAACCATTTTTCAATTAAGCAGAGCCTTCAAATACTCGACCTCTAACAAGAGATCCGGGCTTCCGAA